CTGTCGGTCTCTCAGTCCTTCTGGTGGACCCACATGTACAAGTGGGTCGCCCGGTACGTTAAGACATGCGAAACATGTCAGCGGGTCAAACCCGCAGGGCACTCTTCGGCTCCACTACAGAGCCTGCCCATACCGGCTGACTGTTGGAAGTCGATGAGTCTTGACTTCATCTTTGGGCTTCCCGCCGACGGACACGGCAACACCGGAATTTTGGTGTTCGTGTGTCGGCTGAGCAAGATGGTATATCTTGCTCCAGTTCCCGTCACTGTTACGGGCGAACAAACCGCAAGGTTGTTCGTCGATGGCGTGTTCCGCTATCACGGTCTCCCGGAGACGATTGTCTCGGACCGAGACCCGCGGTTTACTGCTGCGTTTTGGAAAACGCTGTTTCCTTTACTGGGAACTCGTCTGCAGATGTCCACTGCGGATCATCCGCAGACAGACGGCCAAACAGAGCGCGTCAATCGAGTGCTCGAGGACACTCTGCGCAGTGTGTGCGCGGCAGCACCACGTACGTGGTCGACGCAGCTTCCAGTTGTTGAGTTTGCGCTCAACAACGCGGTGCACGCGTCCACGGGGCTCACGCTGTTCTACTTGAACGGCTTCCGCCACCACAGAGTGCCTCTCACTCTTCGAGGAGACACTGACTCCTCTATTCTAAGTGGGGGAGAGGCTCGGAAAGCCCTTTCCTCCCAGGTCTCGGATGTGAGACCAGTTTCGCTGCGGAAACAGGTGGAATCCTTTATGGATACCAAGCTGAACATTGCGAGCAGGGTCCGCGATGCCATGGCAGCGGCCCAAGATAAACAAAAGGAGTACTTAGACAAACAAGGAAGAGGAAACTTAAGTATATTTGAGGTTGGGGACTTAGTGTTGCTAGACACGAGAAACCTACCTCTTGACACTGTCAGCTCTGTCGGCAGCAACAAACTGAAGCACCGCTTCATCGGACCTTTTGCAGTCCTGGCCAGACATGGTGCGTCGTACACCATCGACCTTCCAAAGTCAATGACGACGCACCCGACGTTCTATGTCGGACGTCTTAAGCGGTACTTTGACCCGCAGGGGGTTTCTGACTCGCAGACCCCCCTTGACCCAGCTCCTCGAAGCGAGGGCCGGTCACAGTCGTCGACGAGGGCGTCGGAGCAGGCACCCAAGCCTCGGTCGGGACGGCAAGGCTGCGGTCAAGACCGTACGCCGGAGGGGCTCCATACGAACGGACCCCGGCGCCATACGCCGAGTACGCCGGGTACGCACCATACGCGTACGTCTGGGAGTGTGCCGCAGGCGGCTCCGGACGTGGCAACAAAGCCTCGATCCGTCGGATCATGCGAAAGGCCTCGTCCAGATCGGACGAAGAGGCCCGACGATCCACCCGCAGGTGCAGGCTCGCGACCTCTCGCTCCAACAGGTCCAGGCGGCCCGCAAGGCGAGCGAGCTCGCCCTGATTCCCGGCCTGGGCGGCAGCGTCACCGCCAGTCCCAAGGCCAAGTGCAATCTCAAGCACGAGGACACGTTGACGGAGGCGGTCAACCTCAGGGCCCTGTGTCGGACCCGCAGTCGGAGCACTCGGACGAGAGTGGCTTTCGGGAGGCGCCGAGTACTCGTACTCGTACGAGGGCACCTCCGCCCCTGCCTGACCGGAATGGAGAGGTCCACTTCCACGTGGAGCGGATCCTCCAGGAGCAACGGCGTCGCGGTAAGCGACAGCTCCTCGTGAAGTGGATGAGTTATGCCCACTCCGAGAACTCGTGGGAGCCGATTGAACGGCTCCTGATTGACTGCCCGAAGGCTGTCGCAATCTGGGAACAGAAACGGCGGCAGCTTCATAAGTAGTCCGGAGCTTCTTGCCCGAACGGGGTACGGACGATGAATACATTCCGTACCCGCGCTCATCGTGAGCGCTAGAAGCCGCGCGCGATCAGGATGTCCCTTGGCAGCATGCGCTTGCTGATCAAGTGGGCAAACCTCACACGAAGATCACGCTGATCCAGGATACGGGACAGCAGCTGATCTTCATGGAGTTCCCGTAACTCCGTGGGTGAGTACTTAAGAGTCCTCACCCATGCCCAGAACATGTCCTCACAAGAACTCCACGAGGGACAGTTCTCGGGCATAACCCCGGGGTATCCTCAAAGAGGATAGAGACCACCCCGGGTCTCGGGCTTCTTACGACAAGTCGTGAAGTCCTTGAGAGGGATGCGGTGGGGCGCGAGAAGCACACATCGAGCAGCCTCCATGTTGTCAACGAACAACTGTTCTTTCTGAACAAGGGCACGTTCGTAGATGCCCCTAGAAGTGTGGCCGTCCACAAGGCCACGAGGAGCGACGAGAACCTCTAAGAAGAGGTCAGCCCCAGAGCTCTCCTCGGGAGGCCAATACCCTCTTGAGTTGATGGCAGCTCCCTGGCTGACGGGTGCCGCCACCGAATCCCCACGCACACGCTGGGCAGCTTGGAAATCCTCCTGCTGCTGGTCGAGGTCATTCGAGACCTCCCGGGGCTCAACGATAGCACCCTCCTCCTCCTCTTCTTCCTCCTTCTCTTCCTCTCAATCCGAGGAGTCGAAGATGTTCCGATGGAAGTGTCGAGACTCCTTCTCCTCCCGGAGTGGAGTTTTAGAGGCTGTACGCTTCTTTGAGGGTTTGGCGCCTTCGGCTTTCGAGGCCTTAGCACGCGCAAGACCCTCGGCAAGCGAGAGACGTTTGCGAGGATTCTCTTCCTCCGCCACCGGCTTTGGGAGCGCCCTTAGCCTTGGCGGCCGGACTCTCGGAGCGCACAGACGTCCTGGGACTGTGATCACCTTGATCACTAGCGAGCGACTGCACGCTGTCATCTTTGTGCTCACTGGGCACTGGGCTGTGCCTTCCCTCAGAGCCCGCAGGAGCATCATGAGTGCTTTCAAACTCGGCATCGTCCTCACTGCCCGAGTTGAACTCACGTTCTACGAACCGAGGGCTCGGACGATTGTCTGAAGGAGAGGGCGACGGACTGCGGCGCTTGCTTGCTCGCTTGTCCACAGCCGCGTCACCCGAGGAACCGATCGCCTCGGAGGTTACCTGAGTAGCCTCCTTGAGTGCCGAGCCTTTGCCGTGAGACTTAGTGCTCTTGGCTTGCGCCTTACCGGCAGCAGCCTTGGAGCGTGTCTTAGCACCGCTCTTTGCAGTGCCACAAGGCATGGTAACGGTCGAATTAGAGACCTAGACGAAGAGCGCACAGGTTGCTGCTCGAGGCTCTAACTGTGAAGTGAGCCTCCGCCGCGCTCGCGCGGCCAAGTCGATGGTTTTCGACTTTGAGAATGAGAGTTTGTGACGAAAACCTCTTCACTCTGATTGGTCGGTAAACCGAACTTAAGTGGGGGAGGATGTAACGGGGTACGTAGCCCTAGGTGTACCCTGGTTACATGAAGTGTGACACTTCACACAGCAGGTGTATGACACGTCATACTCCGAGATATTTGGTACAAGGTACCAAGGTCGTTCAAAGCCAACCATTGGTCAAAAGACATTGCATTTCTATAGGTAACTTATAGTTTGTATTAAACCCAAACTTAACCTACCTATAAATATACTCAGTTTACAATCTACCTTATTTAGGTCACTACGCTCTCTTTAAATAAAGAGGGGACCTGTGAACTGCCGTTCACTGAGAGTTTGTATACTCTCGGAAGATACCTTCCTCTAGCGCAAGGTGCTGTGTGACCCCGTCACAAGCAGTAACAGGAAACACCCCCAGCTCTAGTTCCATGTCGCTTGCATCGTCTGAAGATATAGAGGCGTCGTCGCTGTCAGCTTCGGAGCAGGAATCGACGTCCCAACGCATCTTCCGTGCTGCTTGATGTCGACACTTTGGGAAATAAATAGTGTGCTTAACTAAAAAAATTGGTGTGGAACTTTTGTCTACTTAAAATCCATCAAAAGCACCACCTGGGTTTTTTTCGAGCAACATTCTCAAAATAAACAGCCAAAAAAATTAAATATGTTTTTTACTTGGACATCGCTCTAAGAGTGGTATCTCATTGCAGCAACAAGTTCTAATTTTTCAAGTCCAAGCATTAACATATTTTTTCTCCAATGACACATGTAATTGACTAACACCAAAAACAATTTGCAGCAGCAACAAAGATTTTTTCTGCGGCAAGTCCCTGACCAGCGCGAGCAATGCCCGTGGGGCAGCTAACCATTTCGCTTAGTCTACGCACTTGATGCGACGTAGTTATGTATTCAACTTGTAAGGTATTGAGTCCGCGTAACGCTGTAAAGCATCTCCATGTTGTACTGCTGCTACTGGTGGCGGTGGCCCTTGTTCTCGCCCCGCAACCTTATACAACATCTGCGGCCAGTGAGGCGAATCCACGACTTGGCCTTGTTCAACTCAGCCCACGCCGACGATGAGCTGTGTCTCCTGATCGTTCCGACGCTGATAATGGGTCGCATCCTCACTGCGGAGCAGCTCCAGCTCGTATTTCTGTTTTCTTGTACGAGGTTTTTCTCCTGCCGAGGCCGCATCGCTGGTGCCCTCGCCGTTGCCGTACTGCTGCTCAAATGCGTGGGGCCTGGCATAACTGAACCGCTAGTCGACCGGCCATGTGCTTCAATCGATGTGGCTCCCTCGTGCGCGCCCCTCTTTGCGTTCTTCAATTTTTGCTTCAGAAAAAAACTAAGCTTAAAAAGCACTACCGGTAGTTTTGGTGCAGATCGGCGAAAAAAAAATCAGCAAAAAGTTTTACTTTTTTAATAAAATAATTTTAGTGGAGTCTGAATTTCAATTTTATCTAGTACAGTACAAGCACTGTTTTATCAGACCGGCTTCAATTTGCGCAAATCTGATTCATTATCACTCGCTAAAAAGATCCCAAGCAGAAACCTCGAAGGTAGTGAGCGGCCGCTGTGGAAGCAGAGAGCTGAGCTCGAGAGAGGGACGGAGAGAGCACGGTCCGAGTGCTCTGAGTGCAAGCAGCTGCGGTCAATAGTGGAGGATAAGAAGCGAGTTTGCCGGAGCTATGAATGAGGGCACACCGTTGTGGAATTCTCCAGCCAGCTCGGTGGCATCCGTGGCTGGATCTATCGTGCGCGAGAGCACAGTAGAACCCACACGGCAGTCCAGACGTCTGCATAACAAAGAATTAATTCCGACCAGAGTGACGGCGCGTATGATCCGCACAGCGACTGTCGTGGGGTTACTTGTGGCAGTATCCTTCTACATCCTTGGTGGCTCAATGTTATCAGCGTCAGTGCAAGATCCAGCAATATCCGGTATACCGGTACACGAGGTGAACATTGCAACAGCACAGACGATGACTACGGCCACAACAACGCTGCGACATGTTGAGCGCGCTGAGGTGGAGAACAGTCGAAGGGAAGGCGTGTCAGACGACAGCGTGCTGTTCCTACCCGGATTCGGAGCCCCGCGCGAGAAGCAGGTGCGTCGCAGTAATCAGAATTTTTCTCTGCGTAGAGGAGACGACACCATGGGTGGCGTGTTCCTGTCGGTGCTGCTGCCGTTTTGGCCGTTCGCATTGATCTGCGTAACTGTGTTGGTCGTGTCTAGACTCATTGGCGGTCCCTGCCTCGACTATTATGTATGGTATGTGAACAGTATGCTGGCCTGGTCGGAGTGAACAGTTCTAACGCTGGCAAGCTTTTCTACTGGTTCTTCGAGACACGTGCGCCCATGCAGATCGACGACCGGACACCGCTGCTGCTCTGGCTCAATGGCGGACCTGGATCGTCGTCGATGACGGGGCTGCTGACTGAAATGGGTCCCTATCGTCTCACAAAAGAGCGCAAGCTGATCCCGCACGAACATTCGTGGACTAGTATTGGGCACATGCTGTTCTTCGACCAGCCCGTCGGTACAGGCTATTCATCTGTGCGTGACGACATCGGCCACGTGGATACACAGGAGGAAGTTGCCGAACAGCTCTATCGCGGTCTGCAGATATTTTTCAGGCGTCACCCGGAGTACAAACGCAACCCGTTGTACGTGTGCGGGGAATCTTATGCTGGCAAATATGTCCCGTCAATCTCGCACTACATCCACGTGAAGAACAGTGAGTCCACAGACAACGATGAAGTGGTGATCAATTTGACCGGGATAGCGGTTGGCAACGGTGACATGTGGCCCGTTTTGCAGACCCGCTCGGTCCCAGACTTCGCAATCGCGTTGGGGCTCATCGATTCTCAGCAGTACGAGGATGCGAACGCTCAGATCAGTGTGTGTGAAGAGCTGCATCGACAAGGCCGAGATGTAGACGCTTTCCGGGTATGCCACGCCGTCACCCAGAAGATTTATGAGGCCGCAGGGGACCCATTTATTTATGACATTCGCCAGTCGGGGAACACCTTTGCGGACCTGAGTACGCTGCTGTCGAGCTACTTTAATGACGATGCTGTGCGTCGAGCGCTAAATGTGCCTCCTGGGGCCCCGTGGACGTCAGTTGACGGGTGGGTATACGGTACATCTCCGTCAGCGCCAGCATTGGTGCGTCATTTGCTGCAGGACGAGATGTTGGACGTACCTATCGGTGTGTTCCGCGACTTATTGGACAATTACAAGTTCCTGTTCTACGCTGGCAACATGGATGGCTCGTTGTGCAACAACTTGGGCGTTGGACGCATCATCGATCGACTGGCTTGGAAAGATACAGCAAAGTACCGTGTGGCCAAGCGACAGCCTTGGATGGTGGATGGGAAAGTGGCGGGTTTGGTCAAGTCTGCAGGCAACATGAGTTATGTGGTGGTGCTAAACTCGGGCCACCTCGTGCCCACAGACCAACCAGAGGCTTCTCTGGACATGATGCGGCGGTTTGTCAACAACGAGCCTTTCTTCACGTAACTCAGAACCGCGTACACCAAGGCCCCGCGCAGCTCCTAGAAAACGCTGCAGCTTGCCTCCTTTCCCCCCCCCCCCTTACACACACACACTTGCTCCTTGCGCAAGAACTAGTAGGCGACAAGTTAGGCAGGTTAAAACGTTACATGTATACAGCACAGCAGCAGGTCTGCAAATAATAAAGGTGCACGCACTACCACAGCATCGAACCCTTTGACTTGTGTTATTGAGGTAGCAACGGATGATGGCTACACTTGTGTATGTGCTCTTTTAGACGACAACCATCCACTCGCGGATCGAGTAGGACGAGACGAGGTCGTTCAGCACGTAGGGATCAGCTTTGACAAAGTCGTCGATGGTCTGCTTGTCCGCCACATTGAAGACGAAGACACCGGCGTCCGGCGGGTTGACAAGTGCTCCGCCCATAACGACATGGCCGTCCTTCTTGGCGCTAACAGCGCGCTCCAGATGCTCCGCACGGAACGGCCCGCGGCGGTCCAGAATATCACCCACATACTCGTAGCGCAGGATGTAGTACTTCTTGTCGGTGGCGGTGGACATGGCGCGAGACAGCGAGCGGGAGGAGACTGGGCGAATGCTTCGTGCGAACATCTTCGTAACGTTTACCGGTATCTAACTTTCAAAGTTTACTTACCGTAAATAATGTCACTGGTGTATTTGTACATTAGTTTTTTTAGTTACAATCATGGTGAATACGCGAGCGGAAGCGCTGCGTCTGTATCGCGCTATCTACCGGGTGCGTGGCCGTTGTGAATAATATGTGTGCAGCAGCCACGAGTGAAAACGCTAGAGACCATGGCTGAAGCTATATACTCCATGCAGGCGGCCGGGAACATGCCGACGCGTGACCGAACCAACTACGTGCGTAGCCGCCTGCGTCATGAGTATGACCAAGCACACGAAGAGACCAATCCGGAGAGAATCAGGTGCCCTCAGGATATTTTTCTCGTTTATTACGTAGGAGACGTTCAGTACTAATGACCTGGTGTCATTGGCAGCTTCCTGCTTCGTCTTGCAGAAACGCAGTTGGACACGGTGGAGGTGCAGGCTCAGCACTTGAAGTCCACCTTCTCCAGTCCCGACTACCATCGTACATAGACTACAAGCACGACTAGGCACCCAAGATAAAATTTATCTCGTCATGAGCCGCATCCTTTATCCGCAAGGACTTGTTCATGAATGATTGTGCAGTCTTTTTAGCGTTTTGGCACAGTACGCTATCGCAAAGACGTTTTTTTTTTCGCGCCTGTTGGAGGCCATGATTATTTACATGGATTAGTACAGGATTCCAATCATGGGTCTGTCCATGATTGAAAGTAAAATAAAATCCCCGATTCGCCTATTTCCGGAATGTATAAATTCGGATTTTTCTTATTCGCGTTTCTACCGCTTCCCAATAAGATGACGCGTAACGTCGGCGGAAGCGATGTAAGCGCCCGGAGCGCGCGTGAAGGCAACAGGGATCTCTCTTTGCGACGTCGAGGTCCTGGCCTAAGTGATACGCAAGAAGCTGGAGTGTCTGAAGCTGCGGAAGCGGCTAGTAACGAAGAAGACAACTTGATAGAAACCGGTAGCGGTCCCGCCATCCCTGGAAACGACCGTGGAAGTGACTATCCCGACGTGGAGGATGTAAAATCAGGGCGTGCTTCAGAATCGGATGATGATGGATTTGCTGCTGAATTGGCTCTTGTACCTGTTGAAGCGCCGGTGAATTGGCACACAAGCTGGGAGGCATGGCAAACCTACTTTGCCGATTACTGCCAGAGAACGATGCAAGTGTTACCAGTGAAGGAGACAATGTCAAGAGCAGAGAGGAACAAGCGCCTAAGGAAGACAAGGAAGGGAGGAGACGATTCGCAGTTGGTACCAGAGCAATTTGACCCCTACCAGCGAACATATACCTGCACTCACGGCTGGAAGAAGCGGAAATCACGCAGTCCACGAAGAAGAACAAGTGGAGCCAACGCAGAAACAAGAAGTTGCACAAACGCGGGTCTAAATGTAGCTTTGGCTGGATGGTTGCCTTTCAAGACCTGCAAAAACCCAAATACATGTCATTTCATCTTTGACCCTGCAGAATGAAGAGCGATCTCAGTAAACTGAAGCACAGGAATGGTGAGCTTGAGCCTGTCATGCACGGAACTCAATGCGATCGACGAGATAAAAGCCTTTAAGAGATCTTTGATCAGGATTTTATCCATGGAAATTCCAGTATTAATCCTGTAAAAAGCTACGAACATTACTGTACGTATTTTCAAAACATGATTTAATCCTGAGACGTACATGATTAATCCTGGAAGAAGGACAGCCACACGTTTTGTATCTTTCTCGTCCTCAACGAAACTTCCCGTATATTCCCCATATGGCTACTTAAATAAGATAGGTTTTGACGTCCAGGATTAATCCTGACCTTAATCGTGTACAGTTCCATGTAAATAATCCTGGCCTCCAACACCTGCCTTTTTTTTGCATTCGGGAAACCAAGTTGGAAGTATCCCATATAAACGGGAGGCACTCTTGATTAGATTTTTAAGCCTATTTTGATTATAATTATGCCCTAAAAGGTAACGGGCTTAGCACCTTTGTGTTGATGACTGTTTTTACGACGAAGAAGGATTTTTTTTACTGCTGGCAACAAAAATCTCCCTGGCCAAGTTACTCCTTGTTCAACAAGTTATAGCGGCATGATTGTTAGACGAAGTTAAGCGACAGCTGTCAAAAGCTACGGTGGACTGAACGTTTCTTACCTGTCTCCTAATGTTACCTGTAACTCGGTCGACCTCGTCTGTGATGCCCTACTCGTATCCCTCTCGGTACAACGCTTCAACAAAAAGGTATCTCGGGTGGGAGTCCTAAATTTGTTGTTGTTGCATTCTTGTTTTCAAATCCATCATTACTGTTATGAATGAGAAAGAACTAATTAGAATCCTCAAGTCCTCAAAGGGTAGTATGGTCGACCCCACAACGAAGATCTCAGATTCCTCTTCTTCTGGATCAAATACTAAGCGCTGATGCAACTCTTCTCACCTCTCTAGAAACAACTCCCGTGGGGCTCATCGTTCGTTTCTTCTTCGCCTCCAGTTCTAGGAAAATGACCACTTTACTGAGTGGCTGATCATCGCTCAATCCGTTGTTGCTCATGCCTCGAATCTCCTCCAAATCGCTGCGCCATTTCTTTCCAGCACCGTCCGCTTCTTCATCGCGCTTTGATACAACACCAACTCGATAGAAGTGGACCAATCGGAGCGAATCGGGCAGATATTCACGAAAGTTATCAAAGCGTCTGTTGCCATTCTCATCTCGCATTTATAAAACAATAGATAGTTTTTTATTATCTTCTCTTAGCCACCAATCAGGAATAAGAAATCAGTCAGCGCCGCCAACTATGCTTTAGATCGCAAGCTTTGAGTTCTGCAATATGGTTAGATAGGAACTTGTCGAAGCGTAGTTGCCACACTGGATGGCTATGAGTTCTCACGCTTGGCTAAGTACTTCGAGATAGATCTCTCCTCACGGTGCCATTCGACATGAGCAACACATGCACCATACGAACGGAATCGCTTGTTGCGGAAAGGGACACACCAGATCAACTTCATCTTCTGACGACGAACCTGAATCCTGGCCCAAGACCATTTCCAACACAGGTGCGCGTATCTTGAAACCAGGAAGCACATCACCACCGTCAAGATCTCTCCACGCAGTGTTGTCAGAGCATTGTACGTCTCCATTGTCGTCGAGATAGTACTCATACATCCGCTGAAAGTCTGGGCGTGGGTCGATCAGCCAACCCAACTGGACGCCGTGCTGGAAATATTCATTTCGCATCTTTCGATCAAGAGCGCTGCGTTGAGAGCCTCGACCAGAGAGCTTATCAATCTCAACAACAAAGGTGGGAACAAAGGGATCGCCACGATACGTCCATATCTGTTCACGAGTCAAATTCCTGTCATCATCTCGCGGTGTGTATGTCACGTCGGGCATTCTCACGTTGGGCCCTCCGGGGCGCTGCTCCAGAATGAACGCCCCTTGCGAGGTTGTCACTCTGCCTCCTTCTCCAGACCACTTTGCCCAGCTTCCGAGGAGCCCTGCGATCTTGGCCGCCACCTTCATAATGCCATACACGACCATTCGATAGGGAATGAAGCGGCCTTCGTCGATGAAGAACGCCGGCTGCTCGCCAAAAACGGGGTTCACCAGTGGACCGAGCTTCTTCACGTGATAATTTAACTGCTTCAGCTCCACTCCAGGATAGTCCTTGACGTAGCACAAAGTCGTCTTCGTTTCCAAGTCGCGCACGAGTCGCGTAAGGACGTCATCGTGAGGTTTTTGCTTGTCCGCCATCGCTGATCGGTTGCTTTGTTGCTTTCCGATCGAGAAATGACACGATGTGGTCCACAGTTTTTAAAGTCGGTAGTCGTCGGACTTTCGCTCAAGTTTGGAGGAGGCTGACAAAAAAAATTGTCAGCCTCCTCCAAACTTGAGTGAGACTGCGTCAAACAAAATGTTACTTATGAACCTAAGTACGAATTGCGATTTAAGCACTCTAAACGAAAGCGGGGCGTCTTCTCTATCTTTTGAGCCCTTATAAGCTGCAGAATGCTTAAAACTGAAGAAGTTGTGGTCGCTCAAAAATATTATCATCATTTATGGTTGAATATGACTATGTATCCGACCAAACTTGAATTTTGTATGGAATAAATAGGCCAATCATCATTTATGCGCAAATAATCGTCCAGTCACAGCCCGGTAATTTGTATTTTTGACCAATAAGACAGTACGAGGTTAGGTGAGTCATGTAAGCCAGCCATTCCGACGTATCGGGTCGGAGCAATATAAAAAATATGTGTATCGCAACATATTAGGCAAGTCAACATCGTATCACTTGCATATTTTGCATTTATCCGACAAGAGCAATGGGCTTAGCGGAACTAGAGTGTGGAAACACAAAAAGAGCCAATGCAACAGCAGTGGCAACTTTTAAGAAGTTTCTAAAAACGGAGAATGTAAGTGATGAGTATGTGCGAACTTGCATTGAACGTGATGAGACTGGAAAGTGTTTCGTATCAGTGATGGATAAGTTTGGTATGTATCTTGCATTTAATGAGGGCAAAAAAGGCAAGCCGTTGGCTAGAAACACTTCGATGCAATACTACCGGCAGGCTAAACTATGGCTACTCGAACAGTTCCCTCGGCACAGACCCGCACTTGAGGCTCGGTTGCTTAAAATGGGTAAAACACTGGACAACTTTTGTATGAAGCGAGATGGTGGTGGCTTCATCACCAAAGCCCCACCGTGCTCAAAGGGTGATTTAAAAAGAATGCTTATGTATTTGTATGTTAACGCTAGCTGTCCAAGTGACTACCAAGACGCTGCCTTACTATGCCTGCTGTGGTATCTGTTCGGCCGAGCGTCCGACCTTGCGCATCTTCGGAAGCAGAACTTGTCCATCGACGCGGGAAAGGTACTCTTCGTTCGCTTCATCCGTATGAAGACATCCGAAGAGCAGGGCCTGTCGATCTTCCCTGACGTGGACTTTGCCACGTGCCCCCTCTTCGCTGTCGCGCTGGCGCTTCTTACCCAGGTAGCCCCCTCGTCAAACGTTATAGACAACCTGCCCGAGCAGCCAAGTCAATCCGCCATCGAGCTGGCCCCTGACGTGCCGTTGTTGGAGATGCTCGACCATCCGACGACGACGCAAGGCTTGACGGCTCCGACTTCTGGCTTGCACACGATCCCGACCATCTTTGCCCATGTAAACCGCGTACTGGACCGCATCGCCAAACCGGCAGGTGTCGAGGTTGCGCTGACGTCCCACTCGTTTCGTCGCGGCGGCAAGATACTTAGCGGTCACGACGCTGAAGCACCGGTGTTTCTCCAGAAGCTCATATCCTTCGACGCGCAGGCGCGTACCAAAGTCGAAGCTGCTCAGCGTATCCTCTTCGCTACCTGCCAAGACCTTGGGACAACAAGCCACAACGTCAACCAGTCCGTTCTTGATGTTCTTACCGCGTGTGTGCTTCGCCACTACCCCTTGCTGAAGGAGCTAAACCCTGAAGCTCCAGCCGTCAAGCGCATCGAAGCATGCGTCCTTCACAGTGGCTGCTCCATCGCAGAACTGCTCGGATGGTCGTCGCACTTGGTATCCGTAGCATCACCCTGCAACAAATCAAGCAACGACACCAAAGCACAACCAACCTCGCAAGACGGCAAGCAAACCGAAGACACCAGCGACCAGAAGACAATTCGACACCAGGCCGCTGTAATTAACCATTTAATCGAGCACACTCAACGCCAAGATCAGCGCATGGACGCTCTCGAGGCAAAGCTGAACAACGATCCTATGAAGCCTACACACAAGCGCCACCACATACACACTGCAGAAGAAGCTGTCAGTGAACCCAAGAAGAAGCAACGCAGATCTTCAGTCACTCACCTTCATGCTTCGTGGTTTGCTTGGTACGCGCAAGAGCCAAGGATGTGGCAAGCACCCATCTCAAATCTCAAAGCAGCAGAAGTCGGACGCCAAGCTGCTTGTGGCCTTCATGAAACTCTTCTTGGACGACGGCTTTGAACTTGACACGGCAGCGCATGGCTACCGCGATCAGGTTCTCGACTTGGGCAAACGGGCGGAGGAAGCAGTCCTTGCATTTTTAGCCGAGCGAAAGATCACATCGCGCGGGTCAGCCGCCGTCCTCAAGCACCTCCGCACTCTCCATCGCGCGGGAGTCCTGAACAGCAAGATTGAGCGCCACCAGCGCCTGCTCCAGACCGCAGCAATAAGGGATCCCGCCCCTGGATACACACAGGACGTGCTCGAGGTAGTTAACAATCCCAAGCAAACAACAATAAAACAATACACAGAATGACAGCGGTTGGAGTCGAACCAACATTCTCAGGGCAAGACCCTGCGCTCTATCCATTGAGCTACACTGTCGTATTGGGAGGTTGGAGGGGGGGGGGCTGACGTGGCGCCGTGTGCGCTGCATGCAGCAGTGCAATTTGAGAGGTCTGCGCAGTAGCGTCGAAAAAAGAGCGAGTGAGGCCTCGATCTTATTGTCGGGTACGACGTGTGGCTGTGTATCGCCGACTGATAGAGATTCTGGCCTGCCAAACGGCAGAATTTCATTGGAAAATGGTTGCCCAATGAAATGCGTTCAGTAGTGACTGGCTGTCGATGTCCAACAAGTATCCGGACAGTCAATTTATCCGGATGATTGCCAAGTTCAGTTTCATTTTATTATTTGCCTGCTAGAGAGCACATGACTCTCTAGTGTAATTTGCTTGTTTTCAGCTTTTTTCGATTTTCTCAGCCCACAGGCCGTTTTAGGCGATTCTGAGCCGCCTATAAACTAGACACAACAGGCTCTCTACAGATTCAGTACAGAACGACAAATCTTGCCTATCTTCCTCCAAACATAATGATTACACAAAATTACTTTACTTGTCAAATAAAGTCCGCTGGCCTTTTTCCACTTCATGTACCACAATTGTGGTACCTGTCCGATATGGCCGTTGGCCTCCCATCGCCGGTACCCTAACCAAAGGGTGCTATTCCGTGCTTTGGTGCCTCCACGCAGTCGTGTGGTTCCGTCGCCCGTGCATCGTGATCTTCTGATGAAGTGTCATCGACCGCGATATCACGCTATCGTGCAATCGCGGTGTGGTTATGCTTTCTTTGGTATTGTGCACGTGTGGTGCATCTGCGTTGTCCGTGTTATCGTGCTCTACGATGCCATCGTGCTCCACGGTGTGTAATCGTGGTCATACCAAGCCCACCCCCTGTGCATTTGGTGGGCGGTCCGCAGTCCGTGCAATCGTGTTATCATGTACTGCTGTCCTCCGTGGCTCGGTAAGCTCAGGTTCTACACTGGTATGGTGCTCCGTGACTCGGTGATTTCGCGTGGCAGCGTGTTCTCCGATGGTTTAGTGGCTAACCCACCGTCCATGCTGTCGTGTTATCTCTGGTGTCGGGGCTGGGCTGTCGTCTGTGTTATCGTTAGCTACCGTAGTGTCACGCTCCGTGGATCGGTGAGCTCATGTTCTACCTAGGCATCGTGCTCCAAAGATTGATGATTTCTGATTTCCCGTATCTGGCCTCCTGCGGGCTCAGGTTTGGTCGGTTGACTGTGCTCCATGTTTACCCGTGGTGTTGTTGGAGTATTGTTTCTGTGCACTCTCACCGATACGTGTTCTACCGTGGCTTCGAACGTCCGTGCTCTTCCGTAGCCCGTGCTTTTCAGCATGCTGGGGTGTCTATGTATTTAGTTCCTTTCCGTGGCCTGTACGTTCCTGTCATGTTCTGTCCATCTGTCATTTTCATGGCTGCGTGCTCTTTCATCTTTCACGCTACTTATAAAACTTCGTGGTTTGCATCGGCTAAGTCTTCTATCATCGTCCGTGGCCTTCCGTGCTTCGTGTTGCTCTTCTATCCCATCGTGTACATAGTGTAGGTCGGTATTCCTTCGTGTTTCGTGTCCTTGCTTAGACATGTGCATCCGCGCCAGCTTAATCACAAACGCTGTTCCCATTTTGTTTGATGTACACAACGTATATTGTTGGAAAGTTCACATAATATCTGAAGGTCGCACACTACGCGCGCAAATACAAAGGAAGACAACAGTTTATTACGGAGGTGCAGGGGTGTAAGCCACAATAGTCATATTTTAAAGTTTTCACATTATTATTAATAGTAATACAATTGTTATTTATTATTAAACGCTGATATAATTTTTATGTGTACTACTACTACAAATGACTGCAAGTAAAAATATGAAATGCCTTGATAATAGTACTAAGAAAATAATACTGTAAATTAAATTAGTACAGCAGTACTACGAAGCCTAAAACAGCATTCTAAATTCAATAAGTACTAAAGTTTCGATTGAGGCCGAAATAAAAGTCCCCAGAGCCTACAATTTCTTTCAACAGCTCCTACGACAATATAGTACGTGTGTGCTTATCGGCGCCTTTTAATTATGCTAACTAACGCGTACACAGGCAGCGCCCTTTGCGTGGCCTTGCATACCGACGCTGAAAATGAGAGCAAAATGAAATTTAAGCAGTGCTTTTAAGTACGATGTGTAGACCACATATAATATGTAAGAAACACAATGTTGATTTTAGCCAATGGGGGCCGCCTTCGCTGCGCTCGACAGCTTTTTAGCGAATCGACGCCGCCTTCGCTGCGCTCGGCAGCCAGTAGAACGCGCGTATTTGCGTTACATTAATTAACCCTAGCCCGTTACGGACGGACTGACAGACAGACACCAGACTCCACTAGGGGGGTAAGACTAGCCGTTCGCCGCCGCTACGCGGCGGAGTGGCATGGTTTGTTGGAGATAAGGTGGCCGCAATTTTAAGTACTTCGTGTGTTGTGTGCTTTCAGTCTGATCTTGTACCCCGAGGCTTCGGCCATCCCCGTGCGATGTTGTGTCGTGCACTTAAAACACCTGTCATTTCGTAGTCTCATGTGGCAGTGTACGGTATCGCTAATTCGTACGCGTCCGTTGCTCCGTACTACTGGTTGGCGTCTATGTTCCTCCGTGGATATTGCCCTTTTCCGTTAATGCGCTCTCTCTTTTGGGCTCATGCTTTTCAGTAGTACGACACCCTTTCGTGGCTGCTAGTTATTCCGTGTTCCCAAGGTCTTGAGTGAGTTTTACAGGTTTAGTGGTCCATATTCATTCATGGTCCATGGCGTCTCATCGACGGTACCCTCGCCGACGGGTGCTATTCCGTAGTTATATGGATCCGTCCCCCGTGTAACGTGCTCTCCTGGTGTGACTTCATCGACCGCGTTATCGCGCTATCATGCGAGCGCAGTATAATTCTGCTATCCTATGCTTTCGTGCTCGCGTAGTGCATCTGTGTTTCCCGTGTTATTATATTCAACAATGGCATACTGATCCACGTTGTGCAATCGTGATATCCAAAAGCGCTCCCCGGTGCTTCCGTGGCTGATCTGCCGCCCGTGCAATCGTGGAATCGCCTTTTGTGGCTCCGCGATTTGCCGTCTATAACTACCGCTGCTGCGTGTTATCTCACGGTTTAGTGGCTGGACCACCGTCCGTGCAATCGTATATCTCGCGGTATCGTGGTTGGTCTGTCGTCCGAGCTATTGTGAGCTACCGTAAAACTGTGCTCCGTGGCTTGGCTCTACCCTGGTATCGTGCTCAAATGCTCGGTGATTTCCCGCTTATGCTCTCCTGTGGCTTTGTGTTAGGTTCATCGTCTGTGCTTCATGTTCTACCGTGGTGTTATGGAAGAATTGCTTTCCGTGCACCTTACCGTTTCCGTGGCCCGTGTTTTTCAGCATGTTGGGGTGTCATTACTTCAGTTACTTTCCGTGATCCATACGCTCCCATCATATTCTTGCCATTCCAAGTTTTCATGGTAGCGTGCTCGTCCGTGGTTCGTGCTTTTCAGAATGGCTAGCTGCCTTCATTAATTTAGTCCTTTTTCAACGTCTGTGGCCTTCTGTGCTTCGTGTTCTTCCCTCTACCCCATCGTGTACATAGTGTGCGCCGGTGTTCCTCTGTGTTTCGTGTTCTTGTTTATCCACTTGCCTCCGCGCTAATTCAATCGCAAACGCTGTTTTTATTTTGTTTGATGTATGCTACATATCGTGGTGAAAAGTGCGCACAATGTCTTAAGGTCGTACACTACGCGCGCGAATACAAAGGAATACGATCCTTTTTTATCGGCGGCGGAGTGGTGTACATGGTTATGTGGGGTGGGATGGTGGGAAGCCACTATATTCACATTTTGAATATTTAATATTAGTAACAAATTGTGCATCTTTATCTAACGCAAATATAATACCGGTACTTTGGTTTAAATTGATTAGTATTAGTAATAACATGCGTTTTTTTCTTGCGCAACTAATTAATTTTTTGTAGTACTGCTATAAACGTCTGCAAGAAAAATATGAAATTCTCAAAACATAGTATTACTCAAAAGTTTTGTAAGTTTTATTATTTAAAAGTACTACAAAGCCTAAAATATCATTCTATATCCAATAAGTACTAAAGTTTCGATTGAGGCCGAAATATGAGTCACCAAATCCTACAATTTTTTTCAACAGCTCCTACGACGATATAGTACGTGTGTGCTTATCGGCGCCTTATACTAATGCTAACTAACGCGCACACAGGCAGCGCCCTTCGCGTGGCCTTGCATACCGCAGCTGAAAATAAAAGCAAAATATAATTTGAGCGGTACATTTTAAGTACGATGTGTTGACCACATACAGTGTGTGCACCACATAATTCGATTCTAGCCAATCGACGCCGCCTTCGCTGCGCTCGGCAGCCAGTAGAACGCCCGCATGAGCGTGAGTTTTATTAACCCTAGCCCGTTACGGACGGACTGACGGACGGACGCAGACCACACTCCACTCGTTCGCCGCCGCTACGCGGCAAAGTGGCATGGTTTGTTGGAGATAAGGTGGCCGCAATTTTAAGTACTTCGTGTGTTGTGTGCTTTCAGTCTGATCTTGTACCCCGAGGCTTCGGCCATCCCCGTGCGATGTTGTGTCGTGTACTTAAAACACCTGTCATTTCGTAGTCTCATGTGGCAGTGTACGGTATCGTGTTACTCATACAGGAAGAGTGTCAGACGTCGTTCTCTTCAGTTGTGGTCTGGGCGACCGCGTGCGGCACTGTGTTACCTACACAGGAAGCGTATCCAACGCCTTCCTCTTCCGTAAGGTCTGAGCGACCGCGTCTGGAACTCTGTTACCCACCTTGTGTACGGTATTCGTTGCTCCGTACTACTGGTTGGCGTCTATGTTCCTCCGTGGATATTGTCCTTTTCCGTTAATGCGCTCTCTCTTTTGGGCTCATGCTTTTCAGTAGTACGACACCCTTTCGTGGCTGCTATTTTTCCGTGTTCCCAAGGTCTTGAGTGGGTTTACATGTTTAGTGGTCCATATTCATTCATGGTCCATGGCGTCTCATCGACGGTACCCTCGCCGACGGGTGCTATTCCGTAGTTATATGGATCCGTCCCCCGTGTAACGTGCTCTCCTGGTGTGACTTCATCGACCGCGTTATCGCGCTATCATGCGAGCGCAGTATAATTCTGCTATCCTATGCTTTCGTGCTCGCGTAGTGCATCTGTGTTTCCCGTGTTATTATATTCAACAATGGCATACTGATCCACGTTGTGCAATCGTGATATCCAAAAGCGCTCCCCGGTGCTTCCGTGGCTGATCTGCCGCCCGTGCAATCGTGGAATCGCCTTTTGTGGCTCCGCGATTTGCCGTCTATAACTCCCGTTGCTGCGTGAAATCTCACGGTTTAGTGGCTGGACCACCGTCCGTGCAATCGTATTATCTCGCGGTATCGTGGTTGGTCTGTCGTCCGAGCTATTGTGAGCTACCGTAACACTGTGCTCCGTGGCTTGGCTCTACCCTGGTATCGTGCTCCAATGCTCGGTGATTTCCCGCTTATGCTCTCCTGTGGCTTTGTGTTAGGTTCATCGTCTGTGCTTCATGTTCTACCGTGGTGTATGGAAGAATTGCTTTCCGTGCACCTTACCGTTTCCGTGGCCCGTGTTTTTCAGCATGTTGGGGTGTTATTACTTCAGTTACTTTCCGTGATCCATACGCTCCCATCATATTCTTGCCATTCCAAGTTTTCATGGTAGCGTGCTCGTCCGTGGTTCGTGCTTTTCAGAATGGCTAGCTGCCTTCATTAATTTAGTCCTTTTTCAACGTCCGTGGCCTTCTGTGCTTCGTGTTCTTCCCTCTACCCCATCGTGTACATAGTGTGCGCCGGTGTTCCTCTGTGTTTCGTGTTCTTGTTTATCCACTTGCCTCCGCGCTAATTCAATCGCAAACGCTGTTTTATTTTGTTTGATGTATGCTACATATCGTGGTGAAAAGTGCGCACAATCTCTTAAGGTCGTACACTACGCGCGCGAATACAAAGGAATACGATCCTTTTTTATCGGCGGCGGAGTGGTGTACATGGTTATGTGGGGTGGGATGGTGGGAAGCCACTATATTCACATTTTAAAAGTGTTCGAATATTTAATATTAGTAATAAATTGTGCATCTTTATCTAACGCAAATATAATACCGGTACTTTGGTTTAAATTGATTAGTTTTAGTAATAACATGCGTTTTTTTTCTTGCGCAACTAATTAATTTTTTGTAGTACTGCTATAAACGTCTGCAAGAAAAATATAAAATTCTCAAAACATAGTATTACTCAAAAGTTTTGTAAGTTTTATTAATTAAAAGTACTACGAAGCCTAAATATCATTATATATCCTATAAGTACTAAAGTTTCGATTGAGGCCTAAATATAAGTCACCAGGGCCTACAAAAAATTTCAACAGCTCCTACGACGATATTGTATGTGTGTGCACGTCAACGCCTCCTATTAATGCTAACTAACGCGTGCACAGGCAGCGCCCTTCGCGTGGCCTTGCATACCGCAGCTGAAAATGAGAGCAAAATAAAATTTGAACTGTGCATTTAAAGTACGATGTGTAGACCACATATAATATGTACACCACATATTGCAATTTTAGCGAATCAAGGCCGCCTTCGCTGCGCTCGGCAGCCAGTAGAACGCGCGTATTTGCGTTACATTTATTAACCCTAGCCCGTTACGGACGGACTGACAGACAGACACCAGACTCCACTAGGGGGGTAAGATATTTAAGCAGGTAACCACTGGGGATTTTTTTCAATGTAAATACTATTAAAGAATCTCTACTACTGTATGACCCAAAAACCGGTTTTATCATAAGTTTCAAAATAGTAAGGGAGTGGGGATGAGCGAGGATGGCTTCCAGCAAATGAGTTTCGTCAATGGCATCTGTACCACAAAAGGCGGACAGCATGTCTCGTACATCGTGGACCAGATCACGGCCAAACTGGTCGGCGTGCTGAAGAAGAAGAACAAGGGCGAGGCTGTCAAGCCCAACTACATCAAGAACCACATGTTCGTCTACGTGAGCGCGCTGATCGACAACCCCGCCTTCGACTCTCAGGTTTGGCCTTTGGCGTCATAGTAATGGTGGTCTTACCGTTCGTTCTAAGTCATTTGGCTCACACGTGTTTAACTGCTCCTCTGCTCAGACCAAGGAGACGCTGACGACTCGAGCCAACAGCTTTGGGTCAACTTTCAACCTCAGCGACAAATTCCTCAAGCAACTTGAAAAGAGCGGCCTGGTGGAGAAGATTCTGTTGTTCGCTGCGCTCAAGCAGACCGCAGAGCTGCGACGCAAGGTGGCAGCAGCGGCAAGCGGTCGCGTCTCACGGGTATCCCCAAACTGGACGATGCCAATCACGCCGGCACCGCGAAGAGCAAGGATTGCACGCTGATCCTGACCGAGGGAGATTCCGCCAAGACGGTAGCTGTGGGCGGCCTTGCGGTGGTTGGCAGAGACTACTACGGAGTCTTCCCACTGAGAGGTAAGATGCTCAACGTCCGCGAAGCCAGCCACTCGCAGATCCTCAAGAACGAAGAAATCCAAAATGTGGTCAAGATCCTCGGCCTCAAGTACGGACAGAAGTACGAATCGACCAAGGGCTTGCGCTACGGGCATCTGATGATCATGGCCGATCAGGATCACGATGGTAGCCACATCAAGGGCCTGGTGATCAATCTCATCCACCACTTCTGGCCGTCGCTGCTGGTCGTGGACGGATTTCTGCAAGAGTTCATCACTCCGATCGTTAAGTGCACGAAGGGCCGCACAAAGGAGGTCTTTTACACGATGCCAGAGTACGAGGCTTGGCGGGAGAGAACCAACCAGGGACGCGGCTGGATCATCAAGTTCTATAAGGGTCTCGGTACGAGCACGGACGCAGAAACCAAAGAGTACTTGTCCGACCTGCAGACCCATCAGATTAGGTTCACGTACGACGGAGATGGAGACGCTGATGTGATTGACATGGCGTTCTCCAAGAAGCGTGTTGAGGACCGCAAGGATTGGCTTCGAGGCTACGAGCCTGGCACCTATGTGGACTACGACGTGGACGAGATGGGCTACCCAGAGTACGCTTATCGCGCTGGGTGGGGTCTATTGAGGTCATCGGGCTGACCTGTGTGCTTTGTGCGTGCTGCTTTCTTGACAGGTTCGTGAACAAGGAGCTCATCCTTTTCTCCATGGCAGATAATATCCGCTCAATCCCTAGCGTCAGATTCAAGCCGTCTCAGCGTAAAGTCCTGTTCTGCTGCTTCAAGCGTAATCTTCGGGTGAGTTGCTTCCAGTGTTGTCAGATGTCTGTAGTGCTCTGACGTACTTGGGTTTTCTGTACACGACAGGCGGAGCTCAAGGTGGCACAGCTGGCTGGTTACGTGTCCGAGCACTCTGCATACCACCACGGAGAAGCGAGTCTCCAGGGTTGTATCGTGAATATGGCGCAGGACTTCGTCGGCAGCAACAACATCCACCTTCTGCCCCCAATCGGTCAGTTCGGTTCGCGTCTGATGGGCGGCAAGGACGCAGCCAGTGCTCGTTACATTTTCACCAACTTGGAGCAGCTTACTCGACTGATCTACCATCCCCTGGACAACGACTGCCTCAAGTATCTGAGTGAAGACGGACAGTCGATCGAGCCGGAATGGTATATCCCCATTATCCCCATGGTGCTCGTGAACGGCAGCGACGGTATCGGAACGGGTTGGTCCCCCAACTACAACCCGCTCGACATCATCAAGGGTCTGCGTCAGATGATCAACGGAGAGGAAATAGCTCCACTTACCCCGTGGTACCGTGAATTTACCGGCCATATCGTTGAGAAGGCGAACTCGCGCGGAACTGATACGGGCAACTACATTGTCCAGGGCCTGTACGAAGTTACGGACGACAGCACGCTCGTGGTCTCGGAGCTCCCAGTGAAGTCCTGGACGCAGACGTACAAGCAGTTTTTGGAGGGACTTCTGGATGCGGGTACGATCAAGGACTTTAAGGAAAACCACACCGATGTCAAGGTGCTGTTCACGATCACAATGGAACAAAAGGCGCTGAGTGACGTCACGAAGGCCCCGGGCGGAATCGTAAAGAAGTTCAAGCTCGAATCATCCCTCTCTACCTCCAACATGCACCTGTTTGACGCTGCCGGACACATCAAGAAGTACGAAAACCCCAAGGAGATCATGGCCGAGTTTTACGGGATCCGTCTCGAGTACTACGGACGCAGGAAGAAGGCGATGCTGCAGAAGCTGCAGGACCAGATCAAGCTCCTGTCGAACAAGGCTCGCTTTGTTCTCGCTGTCGTGGAAGGCAAGCTGGTAGTCAACAACCGCAAGAAGCAGGAGCTGCTGGAAGAGTTGATGGCGGAAGGCTATGATCAGATTGTGCCGAAGACCAAGAAGAAGCCTGACAATGAGGACTCAAATGAGTCTGAAGATGAGGAACCCAACGTGGCAGACGCCAGCAGAGGGGGGGGGGCGACGTCAACTCGTAATTCATTAATGCAGCGTATTCTTTAGCAGGTCCATTCACGGCAGCTCTGCGTTCTGCGTCTCCCAGGCTTTTTGAAGCTTCGTTGCAAACTTGTCGAGTTTCTGGTGCCACAACGAGAAGGGACTTGGATCCAAGTGCACGGCAAGAGCAACGATGGCAGCAGCGAACTCGTCGAACTCGAGCTGCAATGTGTCGTCGTTGTCGAGAGCCATCACGGAGGAGAAGACGTGCTGTGCATCACTGAGAGCCACTTTGTTGCCGTTGCGCTTCGAGCCATCAAGCAGATCAAAGGCAGCCAGAAAGGACTGGAACTCACCAAAACTCATGGAGCTTCGCTTGGTCTTTTCCAGTTGAAAGTCGGAGCCTGGGTCGGCCCGCAAGAGAGCAGCGTTTTCTTCTGCTGCAGAACGATCTGGGCCTTTAGCGTGATTTGCATTTCCATTTAGGCTGCCTCCGGTTTCCCGTAGCTCGCGAAGTAGCGCCTGTTCTTGTCGTGCGGCACGTTCGTCCTCGGCGACTTCATCTTGCTTGGCGTAAAAGAAAAAGACTGTGCGTAGGAACGAGCGGTGTTCGAGTAGTGCGCGACCTACAAGAGGACAGCTGAGTTTTGCAGCGAAGTTTCGCTCGACAAGACGGTTGTTGCTCGCAAAAGCCCGTGGGGCGAGAATCTTGCGACAGAATTGTGCCATGATTCGTGCCGGACAAGCCGCGAGCTCCGCGGCTTCCAGCATGGTCTCTCTGTTATCGTCTTGAGTCTTCTTGGTTGTTGCCAGTTGAGCCTTCTCTCGTTTGCGAGTTAATGCCACACGATGCCTTTCAATCGCAATTCTGACAAACAGCTCCGAAAACTGCGATTTCCCCACGCCAACTTCTTGATCTAGCGAGCCGTCAGTCGAACTGGCAGGCTCTAAAGCTTTCACGACGCTGTTAAAGAGAGCTTGTAACCTTACAACGGGGAGATTGCGAGGGTGCACGAGCTCGAGCTCATACATCATGGCCCTCCATCGAAGAAAAGGAACCTGAGGCGAGCAGTTGTAGCGCGCTTCTGAGAACCGTTGAAAGAGATGTTCAATGTGAGCTGCGTACAGTGTCAGCACATTCTCCAGCTCGTGCAGTTGTCCAGATGCGCAATCGGTGCGAGCCCTTTTGTCCTTGATGAACTGGCTGAGATTCATTCGAGAAGTATCATAGAAACTATGAAGCGCGTCCTTCATGATTACGACAGCGTCGCTCGATCGGCGTTGAGGGATTACCGGATTGTCTTCTCCAGCAGAATTATCTTCGACAGCAGCAAACTGCCCGTGGTATCCCGACATGGAATCGATGCAAGGGCGTAGTGCCTGACTGACGAGATATATCTCCGTTAAGCAGGTCTGCCTTAGTGCAGACGCTTCATTCCTGCTGCGTTTGGCTGCTAATCGCCAGGCAAATGCGAGAAACTCACGGATACAATTGACCGCACTGTCACTCTCGGATTGACCGAGTTCTTGATCCACATAGTGCAATAATCGTTGGGTGTGACGACGGATGAAGACATTGGGATCGTTGTTGCATAGAGCTAGACTATGTCGAGCATACACACGCCACTTTTCACGGATTGCGATAGCAGTCGGGCTTGGGAAGACCACAGGTGATGCCCGTTTTGACTTGGTAGGAGACTTGACGCCCCGACTCTGCTGTCGCTTCGTTGATATCACGCCTGTGACTTCCATCAGTGCATCAACACGCAGCTTCGTGCTTTCTAACCATCTCATCTTTTGCAACACGTCAAATAAACTGTCAAAAGTGATACCAGCAGCTACGCCTCCAGCTCCCTTTAAGAGCTCAGCAAATACCCAATCCATATCCATCTGAGCCACATCGCTGTCTTGAACAATTCCGGATTGCAGCAGCAGCTCGCGTAAGACGTTGCGGGACAAACCGTGCAGATATTTACTCCCCCCACTAGACTCCGTCGCTCCATGACGACCCTTCCCTCTCTTCAGCTTCACCTTGGGCCGCTTTTTCTCTTCCTCACCAGCTTTGGGTTGATCTCCCTTGCCATTCGCGGCCTCTGTCTTAGTCAACGTCTCGGTTGTTCGCTGCTGCATTTCCTCCTGGTGGTTTATATGAACAAATAGCGCCCGCAACTGATCGCGTTCCCACTGGAGCTGGAGCTTGTACGTTTCCATCAGCAACGCCAGGAAGACATCGGTTGGTATCTTACGTTCGTCTCCTGTAGGCTGATAGAACGGCCCCAATCGCGCTGCCAGCTCTTCAGGTGAAGGTACGACCGCAAACTTTACTAACAGATTGTTGAAAGTCTCCAATGAGATGGACTCCCCCTGGTTCTTTTCAATGATTTCACGAAGCGCAGTTTGAGCAGCAACATGTTCAGGGATCTGCTTTTGCTCCACTTGTCCGGTATCTGGCACGTCCACGGCGGCAATCTCAGGTACAAGTAGAGCGGCAGATAGTTCGCCCAACCGCGTCTTGGGTTTACGCTGTGGAGAGGCGGACGGGGATGTTGGTGCAACTACAGAGACAGGAATGCTCTGGCTACTCCCCTTGGTAGGACCCCGCTTGGCTTTGCCTCGACGTTTACTTTTCCTCGCTGTTGATGGTCGACATAAAACTTTAAAGTGAAGCAGTCTGAAGATGGATCTCGCAAGGAATGTTGCCTTGAGCACGCAGATAAATTGTGGTTGGTGGCTATTTGCACCCTCGTAGTAGCTTGGAAGAGGGTCGTCGTACGGAATACCAAGCCGGATGTCATCCATCGCTTGAGAAAGCCACAAGAAGAAGCAGAGCTCTTGACGTGAACACGATTCCTCCAAAAACTGGCAAAACAATTCCAAGCTGTAACAGGCACTCCGTACGCTGTGAAGACAGCGCACAAACTGTTCCAGCTCTTGAACAGCATCCTGTTCGCGACTGCATCGCTCCAAGAAGAAGTGAAAAACAATCAGGGACAGCGATACCGACGCCGACTTGCCAGCACTGGAGCAAACGCTTGACCCGAACATTGGATCTCCGCCAATTCCTCGGTTACCGAGGAGATTTTGAGCTTCAACCGCGACTAAGAATCGCTGATAAAAGGCCCATGCTAGCTGGAGACAACCCGCAACAATCTCTTCATTGCATTCCTCAGCTTCTGCGCTGTTGATGCAACTGATGCCATTGCCCGAGGAGCTTGTAGCTGCAGCTGACTGAGGCCTCCGCGTCTTGCTGGCGGTTTTACGTGAGCCTGAGCCCTCCGCTGAACGAGCTGCCAGTGCTCTCATCGGAGGGATTAAGGTCGGCACGTTCCCTTGTTTGCGTGCTTTCGACTCTTCCTTTGCGACAGCAACCTGCTTGTCTGTCATCAGCAAACCAGCAATAAAGTTACTTAATTCCATGGGAGATCGCTGCTCAGGCTTCGCGTCCAGTTGCTTCTTGCGAGGCTTTCGTGCGTTTGCTACTGGCGGAGGGTGTACGATGCGTGAAAACCAGTTGAGGGCAGGACCTTGAGCGCCATCTTGTAACGCGCTCGGGAGAGTTGTTTCATAGTTCGAAAGGATGAACTGGTTGCTTATGGTTTCAATCGTCAGTTCACTCGCTAGCATTGGAGCTTCTCCAGGCGAGTCGTTAAGAGGCGCTACACTTCGCTGTTGCTCTACTGCAGTTGTATTTGCTGAATCAATCGACGGCCGACAGGGGCGACAAGCGGAGGGACCGTTATTGGCAGCATCTGCAGTTGCAGTCGGGCCCGCCGCTTGCAATGCCTCGAGAGACTGCTGCTTCGTCACTTGTTCTTCGCGCAGGGTCAGATTTTCTCTCTCCAGGACACGCACACGCTTTTTCTCACTCTGAAGCTGGTTTCGAAGCATCCCGAGCTCGCTGTCGTGGTACAGTGCACTCGACACTTCGGCGACACGAGCCTTCTGAACGTCACGTTCGTGGTGACTCAACCGAATCTCCTGCTTGGCCAGCTCCAGCAGGCGCGATAGCTCGTGACACTGCTGCGTCAAGGCGCTGTTTTCGTTCCCGCCTGCCTCTGAACCAACTCCCGGGATTTCGGGAAGTGAGAGAGCTAAAATCGCTGGGTCATCGCTACGATAATCCAGCGCTTGATGCCTGGGATCCGAGCTACTGGTTGGGAAGGAATCAGCTGAGGTTGCATTGTTCTGCTCGTAGAAATCGCGCAGATCTCGCATCTCCGTCTGAAGTTGCTCGTTTTTCAATGAAACAGCGGCGAGTTCCTCGTCGGCTTCTTTTATCCGTCGTCGGAGTTCATCCACTTCGTTCACGAACACACTGCGAGCAAACTCGTATAGTCTGCCAATGCGCTCGTTAACTTCCAGCAGAAACTCCATCGCGTACTGTGCCTCCTTCCCGTCCAACTCCACTCCAACAGTATGGCTGGGGCTGCCGTTGTTACTCGTCTGGTCGTCAGTCTTGTCGAAGATGACTGAAATCACCTGTTTCATCGCGAATTGAATAAGCTTGACGAGATCTCGAGTAGCACCACGGATAATTGCTTCAGGTTGCTTCTGCTCCTGCGCCTGGTCCCCTATCGACAGCATCAAGTTATCGATCGAGCAGCAGACTCGCAACATTCGACTGTTTTCCCTTTCGCTCTGGCGAAACAGTTGCTCAGCTTCGTCTTCTTCGTCACTTGACCACCCAGCGTTTAAACTTGCACAGCTCAAGCTGCTCTGCAACGGGCGGAGGAGATCATGAAACGTGCTCGGGTTTGAGGCGGTAATCTCCGGTTCCAGCGGTCGTTTGGATGCTACAGGGACTGAGTATGTTGTTGGCTTTTCAACCTCTTTGGTCGCTAGAAGCTGCTGGAGCTGATTGGATCGACGAGCGTGTTGCATCGCTACCGCGGCAATGGAGAAGCGCTTGGAGTTGATAGAGGATGCTACTATGCTGGATCGTGTGGCTTTCTGGGGAGATCCAGCAGGCGGAAGCCCTCGATCACGCAGATTTAACGTCCTTGACGACGCCGAGTTAGACCCGAACGCAAACTGATTTCGTAGTCGACTCACGTGTTGCCGCAGCTTCTGCGGCAGCTTGGGCGTCCCAGCCGCTCCAAATCCTCTTGGTGGAGATACAGCTTCGGTTGCGAGAGTAAAGCGCGCGTTCCTTTGCTCCCCACTCGTCTCAGTACTCGATGAATTCTTGCTCATGCGTTTGAGTAGTGTTGACATGTTGGCTGCATTCAGCCGCAGCTCGGGTGAGCGAGACGAAGTGTCTGCCGCATCTGTTGAGCTTGGAAGCGGCAGGTTGGTCGGTCGAGAGCTAACACGATACTTGGCCGATGATGTGGACCCGCTGCGTCCTCTGACATCTGCCGTCTTGGTTGATGCACTGTCCGTGGACGCGGCGTTGAAGAACTCTGTCCCCTTGGGCATACTTGTTCTGCGAGCTGCTGGTTGCGTTTACTGACGAAGGGCGTCGGTAGACGGCACAACATGCATCCTCTAAGCCTCTTTCTTGGTCCAGCACCGTGACGACTCAAGACAACGGAGGGTCATCCAAAGTAACTGCCACACTGTCAATAGATGATCCCCTAAAGAAACGGCAACTTCACCAGAACACACACTTCAATTGCAAGAATTACCGTCACGATAAATTGATTAGACGACCCTCCATGATCACCTCCATACCAAGCAGTTAAAAAATTCCACCGCCACAACACATACCTAAGCCATAAAGAGCTCCGGGAAGCGCGCTGGCGTCTCTCCTCCCTTCAGCATCGCCTTGCCCGGTCCATTCATTGCCATGCGCTGCCATTTGCATCGCTTCGCGTTGACCTTGCTCTCCTTCATGAAAACCGAGTCGTCCGACAATGCCAACAAGTCGGTCACGCAGACTCTCCGAGCTCCCACCGTCGCATTTAATGCGTCCGACAACGCCGAGCGCACTGCATTAATCGTTGCCAGCACTTCAACCTTCAGCGCCATTTTGAGAGGGAACGTTGCGTCTTGTGCCCCCACTTTGACCAGCAAAATCTCGCCAGCTTCAGCATCCATGTGCAGCTGAATATTCGCATAACGTGGAGCAGTAACGAGTAACATGATCGGGTAGTAGCACAGACTAGTCGGGGGTAGCAACGTGCAGTTCGTGCACCACATTCTCGTCTCGTCACCAGTGAACAGACGATCAGCGTACACAGCTAGCAGTTTGGCCTCTTTGGTTCCTTTCTTCGTCTTGGTTTTCAGCGGTCGGACAGGAAGTGAGAACAGACTGCGACTACCGGTCGACGCCTTGACATTATTCCTCTGCTGCTGCCACGTCAGGCCACACGAGTTACTGCCTCCTACACGAAACTTGAACGCCAGCTCTCGTTCCTCTGGCGTCGGCCGCATACCCAGGTTCACAGGGAACTTCTCGCCGGAAATGTAGTAAACAAGCGAGACGGGGAAACTCATTCTCTCCACTGTGTCCCTAGTCACTTCACTGAAGCAGTTCTCGTCGTCTTCGCCCCCCTCGTTCTGGTTTCTCGGTGTAGTGTACGAGTAGATCGACACAGTATTCCCATCGTACGCCAGAGCAGCAAGTTCGTCCATCGGGTTGGCGCTCTTGGCCAATTGGTTGAACAGAGTGGCTTTGCCTCGGTTTGGCAAAGACTTGAACTCGGCAGCTTCTTCTCTGCTCACCTTCAAGTCGACTCGATCAGTGCCATCGAGGTCATCGTCCGCAAACTTGGACGGCTTGTCCCGAGTGCTTCCGATCAAATGCTCGCCGAAGTTCTGGATGATCAGGAAACGCAGAATACGCGCTCCATCGCGCTTGTCATCGACGACATCTCGCGCGAATTCCAGCAGCTTCTTGTCCACCCGCTGCGAGCTCGCATACGCATCCAGCTTGGTCAACATGACGACCGCTTTCGCGTCCAGGAGCTGCTCGAATCCTTCAGTCTTGCTCTTTGAGAGCGAAATTAACCGCGCGCAGAGATCGGAAATCAGGGAATTCAGCGTCTGGTATCGGCGAGCCGAGATGGACAGCTTGTGGAATACGCCACTCAAGATGCGCTTGACGTTGACTCGCTGCTCGCTCATCGTTTCCATGTAGAAGAGCCATATGGACAACGGTTCGCTCCACATTCCTCCATCGAGTTTGAGCTTTGCTTGGAGGTTTTTCTTCATTTCTTTCAGATAACTCTGCGCTGACTGGGCGTGGTAGAAAGACGGCATCACAAACAGATCGGGCACTGCAAGAATCGCCACTAGGATGACAGTGTTCAGCAACAGTGGCCACGATTCACCCTTGCTTGTGTTGTCCTGAACAGTGTAAGCGCCTGTCATCAACAGTCGGCACAGCTGAAGGCTGAGAGGCAAGTGGCAGACAAAAGACCCGAACTTCGTCAAGCGAGAATCGCCTTCATCTTCAGAGTCAATCGCATCAAAAGCAGCCAGCAACTTGTAGGCTCCGTCGACATGCGAGAGGTCTGGAGCGTCCAAAGCTTGACGGAGAAGAGCACTCGGCACTCCAAACTCGTTCAGCTGTCCCTTGAGTTGCAGGATGATGCGGTCCAGAGGTTTGCGCAACAGTTCCGGGGTGTTGTATTCGGCCATACACAAGTCGCGGAAAGCTGCGGTAAACAAGTGGAATGCTGTGCCAGGCATGACTCGCCCAGCACGCCCAGAACGCTGCAGCGCCGAGGCACGCGAGCACCACGTGTCCACTAGAACTTCAGCGTGTGAGCTTCCAGCGTTGGGCATCTCGATCTGCTTCTCAATGGCGCAGTTTATCACATGCGTCACATCCGGGATGGTCACGCTACTCTCAGCGATGTTCGTGGACAGAATGATCTTCGTGGATCTCCCGCCGAGAAGCTTGAACGCCTCCTGCTGATGCTCCAGCTCGATACCAGAGTGCAGCACCATAACCTGTACATTTTGACCACGTGCACTCATAGCGACAAGACTCAGCGAATCGTACAGTGTGTTGATACTCCCAATACCAGGGAGGAAGACGAGAATGCACTGCGACTGCGATCCAGCTTGATGACGCTGGCCCTCAATCAGCAAACGCACCATTTCAACAACGACAATCAAATGCTTTTCATGGATTTTCGCGATCGCCTTCTTCGCCACTTGGCTGTTGGCGCTCTGGCGGCTTTGCGAAAGGAGGCGAAACTGGTCTCTCATGAGCACCATCTCCTTCTGACAGCGTCGCAACAAGCCTGGGAACCAATCAGACAGCTCATCGAGGTAAACGTTCTTCACCGGGTACAGCTTAGAGCCGACAAATAAATGTTTCCTGTTGACTAATCGTGTCGACAACGCCTTGCCGAGGTACTTGATAAGAACCTGAGCATCCATGGTTGCCGACATGATCACGAGACGGAGGTGAGGTTGCTTTTTCAACTGGAGTTTCAGCAGCAGCAGCAGCAGATCCACATCCATACTGCGCTCGTGCACTTCGTCCAGAACAAGGTGTGTAATCTTCATCAGCGCCTCTGGATCGTGAATAATCCGTTCAACCATGTAACCTGTCGTGACGTATGTGATCTTCGTCTTGCTGGAAGTCAAGTGCTTCTGGCCAATCCGATAGCCAATGGCTTTTCCTACTTGGCCATCCTCCTTAAACTCATTTCCTTCTCGCATTCTAGCCACAGTGTTGGCCAGTTCGATTGCAGCGATTCGTCTTGGCTGTGTCACGTAGATGTTGACTGGACGCTCGAATGCAGCTTTATCACGAGCCCACGAGTCGTACAAGAACTGAGGCACAGACGTACTTTTGCCACAGCCAGTCTCACCTTGGATAATCGTCAGTTGATTAGCTGCCACATTCTCCAGAATCTCCTCTCGATGGGCAAACACAGGTAGTGTCTTGATCATCCCCTTCAGACTCACTGGCTTCTTGGGCTCCGGCTCACTCTCAGGGATATATGCAGCACCATCGCGCATGGCACTGTCAGTGCCGAGGCGCTTCGCTACAGACGATGGCATTAACCCCTTCACCGAACGAGAATTAAACGTTGAAGCTGAAGCATCAAGCGGGGGAGGTCTCGCGTTAACTGCAACTGGAGAAGGGCTAAAGGCTGGCGCCGGTCGTTGGATATGCGGTGGCGAGCAAAGTGGCAACGGTGGCGTAGCAGTGGCTGGCTGGAGCTCATGCCCATCTGCACGAGTGTATCCGTAGCTTTGCATGGCGGTCTCTAACGCTGTTGTCGCGGCGCTCTTGTTCTTCACGCTAGCACGCGCCACAGCGACTGGAAGTACGATGAGTTCTTTCATGCGCAGCGTCGTAGCACGAACGTACGTGTAGTGAGACCAAAACAGATTCTTGTCGGAGATTTCGGCAAACGCTTTTATCACTGGTTCCACTTCCCTTCGAGATAATTTCGCGGCACTCTTGGGCGACTTTACCTTCGCGCTGCTACCATTTCGCATCAAAATGTGACACACCTTCACAAATACTTCTCCCGAGAAATACGTTAAACATCCCGAGTTTTGTGGCGATTTGCTTCCCAAGAGAAGGCGCAACTGGTGAAGCTGCTTTAGTATCTCCAGATATCCACCCACGACAGCGTAGATTTCCATCTTCAGCAGTTGCTCGTCAAACAACACAGGGTCTCGATCTCCTGGTTTTCGCTTGGAAGAGTCCACAGCAAACGAAATTAAAGACGTCAGCAATAGCAGCTCCAGTAAACGATCATCCAGCAAGCTCGCATTCGTCAGGTATGTGCGGTCCTGTTTCCACAAGACGAGCAAAGAGTACACAATGACCCTCACTGCGACTCCCTTTTTGTCCTTGCCACCCAGCAAACCAGCTAACTGCCCTGCTCGCAAAGTTTTTCCGTCGGGGGCTTCATAGAGTAGAACAAACATCAAAGAACGAAACACTCGCTCTACCACATTGGTACCGCGTCCTTGAATTGGGACAGATATGAGCGGACGTAGGAATTCCAAGGGTGCAACGTGAACCACCACACAACTATTGAAAGTTCCTTCCTCAACCGCCGGCGTGTCCAGCACCAAATACGACAAACGCCGCGCTGGTGCTTGGAATTCATCGAGCGACTTGTCTTCAAGACCAGGTATCGCCGCCAACGCATCGAATCTTTGGCTGAGTCCACGAGCTTTCGTCTCCAGGATATCGATCGCCATGGGAGGAAAATCGTAGTGATCGATCAGTAGTTTGTACTGCTTCAGCTTCTTCGCCGGTAGAATGGACTCGACTGCCATGGGAAATTTCTTCAGAAACGCAGCCGTGTGTCCGTAGAAGCGGTAGATCTCAAACAGTGCTCTCAAAAACCCCTTCTTCTTCGTCTCAACCTCGACCAAGAAGGGATTCTCCAGTATTGACATGCGCCCGGCAACATACCTCGCTGCATCGGTTGGGTAGAGAGATCCCTGCATTCTCTGCACTGGGAAGTCCAGCAGTGTAGCCATCTCGTATTCATTGTCCAATAACGACGTAAAATCGTTACCACACAGTAGCGCCAAGTCCACGAGCTGCTCCACCTCAAGTCCGAGCGAGTCCGCCACCATTTCGGACGAGAAAACTCTCGCTCGGATCCTCATCTGCTCTAAATTCTGACCACACTGGTAGAAGCCCAGGCTCTTAAACGGAATATACCTCACCCCACTCATGACTAAAAAGTCGGAATCTTCCGCCAACACTGCGAAGGCTTTCCCTGTCCTCACCAAAGTGCCCAGTTCTTCATCGGCCTCTCGACTTGCAGTCTTAATTCCGATCCCATGCTTCTTCAGCACGCCACGCAGTTTCTCTCGAGCGAACGGGAACCGCCCGTTTGTCTGTAACAGCGTCCTGGCCACTTTCCCCTTCTGCTGGGGACTCTGTGCCTCTAATCCAGCACTACTCGTAGTACTGGCAGACTCGTGGGTAGAGCTAATGATACTGTTCTTCTCTAGGCTCTGAGCCAGCTGTTCAATCTGCTGGGCCTTCTGCATTGCGCGGTCCTGTAGACAGTAGCCTTTGCGGTGACTCTCGCCCCCGAAACATTGCGGCGGGTCTGTAATGAACACGAGACGGACCTTGCGCTCTCTCAGGCGCTTAAGCCACGTGTCCACGTACCGTTCGAGCCGCAGCGTGCAGCCACCCAGTAATAACCATGAGGGCGACGCGTTGCTCTCGTTGAAGAGCTCCTCACACAAGTAGTAGAGGAATCCCACAAAGTCCACGGCCAGAGTCACATCGTGCAAGTCCAGATCCTCCACAGACGTCGAGGCCTCGTTCTGGCGGCAGTAGCGCGTCAGCCCGCGCACACCCATGACTGCTTTTATTATTGGAGTTTAACGTTTGGATTCCGCACTGGATGGCTTGGAAAGGTCGATGATTTGCAACGTTTTACATCTAGAATTAGCTACACGTTGGTAGAGAAATAGATTAAAATAGAGGCTCAAATGTTTTTCTTTTTCAAAACAACGAGAGGTATTAATAAACAAAGTCGACTTTTTCTACCAAATGACAAGGTACGTGCGTGGATGCGTGGTGCACGCGCCATTACGCGGCTGTATCGAGCTATTCGAGGACGCCTTCCTGTCCATCGATCTATCTACGGGGCGCATTACCGCTTTCCACGCTGAAATCGAGCCCACCGACCTGGATCTGCTTTCGAAAGCTCCGTCTTCAGAGATCCTGCATCTCCCTGAAGGTCAATTTCTCATGCCAGGATTCGTGGACACTCATGTGCACGCGCCGCAATTTCCGTTTATGGGTACAGCCACCGACGTTCCATTGATGCAGTGGCTGGACAAATACACTTTTCCGGTAGAACGAAGTTTCGAGGACCCAAAAGTGGCTTTAAAATGGTATTCTACACTATTAGACATGATGTTGACCCAGGGCGTTACCACAGCTCAGTACTTTGCCACGATTCACGTCGAGGCTACCAAGATTCTGGCGGATCTGGTGGAGCTTCGGGGTCAAAGGGGGCTCGTGGGGCTTGTCTCCATGGATCGGAACGCCCCAGACAACTACATGTCGTCAAGTGTAGGCAAGTGTCTGGCAGATGCGGAAGAGTTTATTCAGTACGCACTGGGTAAAAATAACGAACTAGTGAAGCCAGTTGTCACCCCAAGATTCGTGCCGACGTGCTCACCGGAACTGATGAAAGGGCTGGGAGCACTTGCCAAGAAATACGACGTTCATGTTCAGTCGCACATTGCCGAGTCGAGAGATGAAGAAGCTTTTGTGGAGACATTACATCCTGGACGGAGAGATGCGGAGCTGTTTGAAGAAGCAGGACTGTTGACGCAGAAGAGTTGGATGGCTCATGCGGTGCATTTGAAGGAGGATGAGCTGGAGATAATGCGTCGCACTGGGACCGCGATCGCTTGTTGTCCATTGTCCAATTTCTTCTTTGCCAATGGGTTTTTAGACGTGAGGAAGGTGCTGGACAAGAACGTGGGCGTCGGGTTGGGCACGGACATTGCTGGTGGGTACTCGCCGAGTATGCTGCGTGCAATTCAGACGTGCGTGCTGACGATCAAGGCGCTGGAGATTCAAGAAGGGACATCCGGTGCCCCGACGCAGCCGTTCGATTTCAAGGATGCCTTCTGGCTGGCGACAATGGGAGGTGCAAAGGCGCTGAATCTCGAAGAGGATACAGGTAGTTTTGCTGTGGGGAAGTGCTTTGATGCCATTCTTGTGGATGTGAACCGTGGCCGTAATTTGGTGTTTTCCGAGCGTGACACCCCTTTGGATGTCTTCCAAAAGGTCATTCACAATGCTGACAATCGCAATTTTGTGAAGGTCTTTGTGAAAGGCAACATGGTGTACGAAAATGTTGAGGTATAATAAGGCCATTATCATCGTCCAAGATAAATATGTTGTTTCTAAAAAAGTATAATGACCGAGGTCTTGGCGGGGACAGGGCTCCACGATTTCGTCGCTCTTGCTGGATGCTCTGTGGGGTCGGCGCTCAAATCCTACCTTTAGGACGCTTCAAAGCTGCGTAAAGGTTGCTTCAGAAAAAAAAAATGAGCCTTATTTTTGCCAAACACATATTTTTACTAGAGAACAGGGCTGGTAGTGCTTTTGAATTTTACAGTATATGTTTTAATAATCAATTCTCACGGCTCTAATGTTTTGCATGTCTCACCAGCCAATAGGATTCCTGTAATTTTTAACTGCAAACCTGCACTGACTGTTGAGATTTGGTCGACAGTTGAAGTCAAAGATAGCAGGACTGGGAGGATGTTTGGACCCCGGAGAGGGGTTTTACCTCTTAGACCCAGCGGTTACGAAACCTACGGGCTGCTCGGCCATGTATGCCTTCAATATCACTTCCTCATTTCCTCTCTTCATCACAAAAGGTTATAAGCCCAGCTTCGCCAGGAAGCAACATTCGGTCACGAAAGATGTCGCGCCTCACCTGGAAGGAGTCGTGGAATTTCGACTCGCGTAAGCCTGATTTTACTGCATGGCAAATCCGCATCCAGACTCTGCTGGAAGCTGAAGGTGTCTGGGATATTGTATCTAGAGAACTACATTTCAGTGAGAGGTGGAGTCACCGCAGGCGTGAAGACTTTATTGCTAGAGACAAAAAGGCGCTTCATCTTCTCATCAGCTCTTTGGATGACCCAACCGTGAGAGCGTTGGGGGAGTACAAGAGGTCGTGGCTGGCGTATGATCACATGGAGCGTGTATATGCTGGAAAAGGTACTATCAACATCTTTCGAGCAAGAAAAGACTTTCAGAATCTTAAATACAACGACGGTGAAGACATGCAAGCTCATATCAATGCACTAGAAGACAAAGCAGAAGCACTTGCCAGGCTTCGCAGACCCGTTGATGACGAAGAAAAGGTGATGCAGATGCTTGGATCGCTACCGGACACCTGGAAGAACCTAGTGATGGTGTGTCAGAACGAAAAAGGATTGACGTGGGAAGACCTTCAAGCCAAGTTATTGCTGGAGTCGGACACCCGCAAAGACATCAAAGAAACAACGGACATTCAAGCGCACCTGACAGAAGGAAGTCAACAATTGCCGTTTCCAGCACCGAGTTTGAGCTCCAAGGCGATCGCACATTTTGGACAGGGACCACATCGTCGTTCCGGTGGTCGCCTGCCATTTCGCAGTCAGCTGAAGCAGCCAAGTGGTCGCCCATACCAGCGAAACGAGACAGACAAAGAATGCCATTATTGCGGAAAGCAAGGGCACATCATTCGCGACTGCCGCATGAAAGCAAGCCACGACCATGAGCGCGGTGCTAATACACAGAAGCCTGCAGCCGCAAACATGATGGTCGCTACGGAAGAAGAAGAAGAATCACTGGACAGCTACGACGTTCTTGCAGTTGCTGTGGCGATGGATCATGTATACATTAAAAGCAGCATACAGGCTACAGCACTTCAAGCAGCCGTAGCCTCTAAGGATCCAACACTGTCTCGTGAATTATGGGTGCTAGACTCTGGGTGTACGCATCACATGTGCTACGACAAAAGTTACTTTACGGAGCTTAAAACAGTATCGCAGAGAGCTCATTTGGGAGACAACAATCACGTCGAAGTGGATGGTATTGGAAGAGTAGTGTTAGACTTCAAGGGTGAAGACGGAAGTAACGTGAAGCTGACGCTATCAAAATGTTTTTACCTGCCCAAATTATCGAGAAATCTGCTTAGTGTGCGCTGCCTCCGTGAGAAGGACGTCAAGTCAGACTTCAGCACGTACGTCGATCGAGCCATTATTCACAAAGGAAAAATGCGAATCAAGTCAGCTGAAAACGGGTTCAACAGACTCTACGTGTTGTGGTGAAGTGCTTTTTCAGAAATAAGAGAATGGGCCTGACGCGGGGTCACTATCCCGAATCAGTGACAATTTCAAGTGATTAGAGAGGATTTGGGTTGGCTGGCACGGATGCAAGTTGCCTGTGGTGGATTAGCCATGGCGAGCAGCACCCCGTATGGAATGACGATGGATCTGATATGAGCGATGTACGAGAAGGCAAGATCCACCAAGACATACCTCGGATCCACCCTTACCTGGATTCACTTAAATGGATATGGGATATACTATACAAGAGTGGATCGAGTGTGGATCCTATGAAGGAAGGATGGTCGGTGCCCTCTGAAGGTGGATCTAGTAGCCACGGCTAATGAAGAGGCAAGATCCACCGCGAGGTACCCCGGATCCCATACTTCCGAGTTCGGATCCAAGGAGGGAGGATCCCGCCTGGAAGGACCTGGATCCAGGGTATAGGGATGATGGATACAGTGGATCTCGAACTTTCGTGGGACAATGGAGATCACAGACGGTCGCGAGATGATGTTGGATGATGGGAGAGCTCAGATCGACGACGAGTGCAAACTTACAGTGAAGTGGATCCAAGCGACCTGGATCCGGATGAGTGTACCCATAATAGGGTGACCATGATGATTACGTCATGGATCCGGTGGATCTGAAGATAATACAGCTGGGATGATGGGTCAAGGGAAGAAGGGACATGCAGCCGAGCCTGGTAAGGGATTTAGCAGATGAAAGACATAGAAGGTAGAAATCCAGGCAGGTATAGGCTTAAATATCAATACAGACTCCAATTTGCACAGTGACACGCAAGTGCCTTCCTCCCTCAAGAACCGGAACTACATTGGCCGTACGAGCTCCGAGAAGGTTGGGAATTGCGAATCTAGTGTTGGTAGTGATAACTGGGTAATACATTGGCCAGATCCTACAACCTAGTGAGCTTTTCCTTTACTTGTGCAGATCCGACAGGCTAACCGAATTTACTACTTGGTCGGTTACACCCTAGGGACTCTCAACTTTCAAGATCCCGTCACAGGAGGCGGCAAGTACGACGCAAAGGAACTACAAAGGCAAGGGAACACACCCGCAAGGCAACCCTACGGCCAGATCCACGATCTAGGCCCCGGATCCATAAGCTCGAATATTCGCTTAGGATACGGAACCATCCACGGACGCAGAGTGAAGATTTTCCACTGCTGCTCCACCCCATCCCCACGTCTCGACAAGACGCTCTAGCTTCACCACTTGAACTCTTCGGAAGTTACCGAGAGAGCAAGATCCCGCCCTACCGACGGGTACACAAGGTGAGGAAAGTTCAGCAGAACACGGATCATCGGGGGACCCCCTCCGTTAGTCGGTGTCTGGGTGCAGTTGGTAAGCTGGATCCGGCAATCTCGTAGATTTTGCTGATCCCGCTACACCACAATGGTGCGCGTGCCCGGATCTTTTGGTGACTCGGGATTTCACCGTGAGTCCCAAGAAGATGCTCAAGTGAAGATTGAGCCAGGGGAAGAGGCGTCGTCGGAGGTCGGATCGACGATGACGCTGCTGAATGAAACAAGATCCGCGGATCGATGGAGTTTTGGGAGGAACTCTGTCGACGGAAGAGAGGTGGATCCGGATCCGGATCTAGAAGAGAAACCTCGCTATCCTCCCCAGGTCCCCTCGGGGACCCCTGCGGATCTTGACGCAAGTCAAGATCCGCTAACAAAACAAGGGAAAGTGAAGGCGAAACGGTATGCATTTGCAGATTCACCGGTTAAGCCAACATCGTACCTAAACCCAAGCCCGCTAGTCGAAGAAACGAGAAAGAAGACGAAGATGAGTAAGACTACGCGGAAGAAGATGCAAGCTCCAGAGTCGGAAGAAGACCAAGCTGGATCCAGGTCAAGCTGGTCCGACAAGGATCTCGAGTTTGTGTATCGCCACCAAGCTTTACGCGACTTCCTGCATCAAGACCCTGTCATGCAGATCCTGAATCCACGACAGATCGAAGATCCAAGGGAACCGGTGAGAGCACCAACGAAAACGGCGAACAAGCTGGTGGCAGTCAAGGATCTATTACGTTTGCTTACAGAGTCAGGCATCGTAGTTGGTGTGTTCGACGCAGAGGATATCTTTGGGCTAGATCTGGATCTCATAGCATCCGCGACGCAGGACCTCTTTGCCAGAGTTAAGGCCATCACCGGAGAAGGTCGCGCACTATGGATCCAGTGTCATCGCCGAGGATCAGCCAAGCTGCGTCCTCGAACTACGAATCCACCGCTGAGGATGAGTCAGACACGTCGTCCGAACCACGACGCATGACTTTAGGACCCTCCGGGGCATCCATGCTGGAAGCGCGGGCGAGGATTCGACGACAGGAAGCCCCTGTGAACGTGAAGGCTCGGAATCCAGTAGGCCCTACGCGTGATCTGACACAATCCAGCCAGGATCGAGCCAGATCCGGCAAGAAGCCAGTGGGACTATCGTCAGATCGGGCTCAAGGTAATCGCCTCACGAATCCGGTCTCGCCAGTGGGCCAGACGGCCACAGGCGTTTTTCCGACACTTCCTCGGGCACCCTGCAGCGACACTTCGAAACTGCGATGAGTCGTTTCCTGGCCGAACAGGGTATGAGAGCGCCCGTGCCACAAGTGCAAGTGCTCCACGAACAGGGAGCACGAGACGTGGAAATGGAGTCAGTGGAGGCAGACAACTTCCATGATGAGTTCGACCCAGATGATCTGGATGGCCCATCCACTTCGTCAGCAGTGGTAGCAACAGCCACAGCCGGGGCAGGTGGATCGTCCATGATCCAGAGGGTACGGATCTCAGCCATATCGGACCTGAAGGAGTTCACGGGCAAGGATCAAGATGAGGACCGAGCGAGAACATGGATCAGCAAAGTCAAGTCGGCCCTCATGAGAGATCAAGCGTCGGATGCTGAGAAGTGTTTGACCTTTGCGGATCTGCTAGCGGGGCCAGCCAGGAACTGGTATCGGCAGCTGGGCAGATCCACCAGGAACAAGTGGCCGGATTTGCTGCGCAGCTTCCAGACCCAGTACTGTGG